AAAAAAAAAAAAAAAACAAAGGTAATGACTACCTTTGAATATGGAATAATATCGAGCGGATGGCCTCAAAAGATCAAGATGCTTATCCGAAACCGATATGCCAATTTCAAGAGCTTTTCTACCCTCTTCCTCCTCAATAGAAGGATCTGTAACACCAATAAGTCCCGACATATAGTATTAGTTGTTTATTAGTCCTCAATTTCGATTTCCTATTCCACTTCATACCATATCATGACATGCCTTGGAGAGATCTGAGGGCAGTGTTCCAGAAGGTTTTTTCTAGCAGGGCATTCCCAATCCATGGACTCAAAACATTGGATTATCTAAAACTTAGAATGTGTCCGCACTCGTCAAGGGACACAAGCAACTAACTGAAATGGCTAAAGTCCAACAAATTTTCACTCTAGCTTTGTACAAAAAACACTTGCAGTCAGGACGTCAACAAGAAAGTTTACCCCTTTTAATTTTTGCTGATTACTAGGATGTATATAGACTATAATATATTCCAGCAATCCAATACATATGAAAGCGACCATGCTGCAAAGTGATATGGCAAATTGGCAATACTGTAAATCAGCTAAATGTGGATAATTCACATCTCGACTATTTGAAGTATACTTGAAACCAAGACAAAAGGAAAGTTATATTACTCTGATCCATGGGTACTCCTAAGGAAGTGAATTATAATATTCTGGTCCTTCCTTCAACAGCCTCCTCTGAGTACCTTAACCAAAGAAAAACAAAGCTATCACATACTTCTATCAAGATTCAAGGCTCGGCGGCAGAAACTTCAGCAGGTAGATGAAGAGTAAATATCATTTTCCTTCCAAAAATGAAAGTAAAATATACGTACTCCATTTGAAAAACAACCAACATAATAACAGAATCCACAAATAACATGACATGGATCTCAATGAAAGAGTGAAACTATTCAAGGTTCACAGCCTAGAAGAATTGCATAATATGAAGTGTGCACTCCGAAAAATAATGATCATACTAATTCAACTACAGTAAGGCTGAGGCAGGCCTAACGGTTCAGTAGCCACTCTTTAATTTGAAATGGCATATACCAAAAACCATCATAAACAAAAGTACGACATTTCATATAATACATATGCATTTTTGTTAAAAATGTATAAACACGCACAACGATTAGACCACCTCATACAAGAATTTGTGATTCATCAATGCAAACCCTTACAACACCATTTTGGTAGAATTAGGCAACGTCAAATCCAACTGTTGTAGATAGCCAGCGCTACGAAAATATGAATATGCTTAAAATATAAACCAAAATTCACCGTCCTTATCGTTCATCTATTGCAGAACTTACCCAAAATCTGACCTTACACGTCAAGTTCAACCAATTTGCGGTACACAGATTAACCTAAGATCATTTTCAAATCAACACAGCCACCAAAACTTCAACAAAAAAAAATTAAATAAATAAATAAATAAAATCAGAATTGTGACGGCCCACATAGTAAATCCCTATTTCCCACGATGCCCATCAATCCTCCTTACAAGAAAACCCAATTCAAGCACGAACCCTCCAAATAAAACGCAAGAACGAGGAATAATGAACAGAACTACAATTGAAGCCAATTTACTCAGCAAAATAAATGGAAATAAGGGATAAAAAAAATGAAACTTGCCTCGAGGAGGGTGAACAAGGAAATTCAGCTAGTTTGATTAACAAGAATTATCAATCAATGCGTTTAAGCTCAACCGGTCGCTTTTGGAGGATTTAATTTGGGGACGAAGCAAAGGCTGCTTGCTTTCAAGAATTGTATTCGACCCACTGTCTTGTACTCCGTCGGTTGACCCTTTCATTTTCATGCGTCATTTTTTTTTTTTTTTTTTTTTTTT